CGCGATGGCTAGCGCTGAAAAGGTGAGTTAGATAAAACTTGTGATATTGATTATTTTTCATTTTTGTTATTCCTTTTTGCAGGCTTCTTCATGAAAACAGAATTCAACGAATTGACAAATTATCTTTCGAAGGCYTTGAAAATCTTCGAAAACTGTAAGTTATCACCGTATTAATGGTCTACAGAACTAAAGAATAAACGTATGAATGAGTGTAAGAGAATCAAGGGYTGCATAGCTTGGTTCTAGCCTTTTACCTCTGAGGTCTCGGATTCAATTTTTATGCTCGTCGTTACATGTAATTAGAGTTTGTTAGGTCTGTATCCAAACAAACAACCGGATTAACAACCCACCCACAAACCCAATCAACCCGCCAATTTAAACAAACGAAAGAAATAACTAACCAACCAACTAACCAACCWACTAAGCATTTAAACTATCTATCCTATAAATTATTATAGGTCATTGAATAACAATTCCATCGACCAGAAAACCATTCCAACAGACGCATTCAAGAACCTGCGTAAACTAAAAWATCTGTGAGTAGCAATTTGTTAATTAAGGAGGCTTAAAACGGTTTTATTTAGAGCGCGCGCTCTTGAACCGATAACGTAGGCAATTCAAACTTGCAAAAACAAAATTTTGTTCTTTATGTCTGTTTCATAAATTTTCTATATATTTTAATCATTATTAGTCTATTAAATTCTATCCTTTTCTCGAGGTTTTAAATATTTCTGTTACACGGTACCGTTATAGGTCAACAGACAGCTTCATCATGTGCTGCTATGCAACCAAGTCTATTCCAGACCTTAACTGTGTCTCCCCTGGCAACGAGTTCTCCAGCTGTGACGACATGCTCAAAAACGCCGTAGTAAAAGTCTGCATTTGGGCGGAAGGTGTTCTCGCTACCTTTGGCAATCTGGCTGTCATAACATGGTGGATATTCCTTTCAAGAAAACGACCAAGAACACGAGGTGTAAAGATAAACAGTGTCCAGTCCTTGTTATTTTGCCATCTCGCGTTTGCTGATCTTCTAATGGGAGTATATCTTCTGCTCATTGGAACTTACAATGAAATATGGAAGGGAGAATACTTCTTGCACGACGTAGAGTGGAGAGCCGGTGTGAAGTGTAAAATAGCAGGCGCCGTTGCCACTTTATCCAGCGAAGTTTCAGTCATGGTTTTGGTTGCCATAACGGCCGATAGGATAAACACAAYTCTTTTCCAGTTCTCAGGCAGACGCACTAATCTGAAACTGGCTCATGTTCTGTGCCTGTTTATTTKGGTCGTTGGATTTGTCATGTCTTTTACTCCCCTTTTTGTTCCAAGCTACTTCAACGACAAAGTACTAGGCTTCAGTTTTTACGGCCGTTCAACTGTCTGTCTGCCGCTACAGTTGTCCAACGATCGCCCWGCCGGCTGGGAGTATTCGGTTGCTGTTTTCATTGGCTTCAATGGCGCAGCTTTCCTTTTCATCCTTGTTGGTTACATCAGTATTTTCATAAAAGCTCGAGAATCTGCTCGAAAAGTCCGTTCGTCATCAAGCTCTGACTCTGCATTAGGAAAGCGGGTTCTGTTTGTGATCCTGACGGATTTCTTTTGCTGGATGCCTGTCATGGTTCTTGGCGTTATCTCTCTTTTCCATGACTTCAACGAACCTTCTGTGTATATCTGGGTAGCAGTATTCGTACTTCCCGTCAACTCCGCCATCAACCCAGTACTGTACACCTTCTCGTCCTCTCAAACAATCAACAACATGAAATCAATCAGGAAAAGATTGTGGAAAGGTAAAGGTAATGTTGTCCTTGGTGCATTGGGAGGGGCAGGGTGAAAGAAAAGGTAGTTA